AAAAAAAAAAAAAAAAAGAAGAAAAAGAAAAAAAGAAAGACAAGAAACACGTGAGGGTCCTGGCCATTTCTGCCTGCTCCTGAGCTTGGGCACTTGTCAGCCGTGGGCTACTTGTTTCAGGCTGGGAATATGGTGCAGGTAGGAAGAACAGAGCACAGCAGGTGAGCCCAGTACCGAGCCACGTGCCACTGAAAAGTCTGAACCCAAAGAAGAAAAAGTGGAAAAGCACAGACCTACAGAAGCCACTTTTCCCGGAACTTAGGAGGAATAAGTTTTATTTTTACTCCATCTTGTTTGAAGGTCTGAAGGTAGTTTAGCAACTCCAAGAACTCAAACAGCCAGGCCCTTCCTGAGGCCCACAGCATAGGAAACTTCTGCACATCTGTTATGCTTGTTGGAACATCTTTCATTTTTAAAGGCACTCATGGCCTCTTTCTTTGGTTTGGCAGATAATTTTCTATTTTGAGAAAGAATTGTGCTAAATTGCTAAGCTGCCCAGTTTAGACTCCAACTTTTGATCCTCCTGCCTCAGCTTCCCGGAGTTCTGGGATTACAGATGTATACCATCCTGCCCAAGCAGCAAATGATTTGAGGCCTCACTACGTGGAAGGCCTGCGTGGGCTGCCATGGGGATGATGCGATGTAGCAAATGTAGCCCTGCCTTCTGAGTGGCCACAGTCCTTTCCCAACCACAAGAGCACCCTGATGCGGCAGGGTGGGATCTTCTTCTGGTGACAGAAGAAACGGAGGTTCAGAGAAGGTAAGCAACTCGCTCAGATCACACAGCGAGGCAGGACCGGAAGTGGAGGGTCCTAATTCCTAATTCCTGACGTAGGTGCTGTTCATTCACTTGTTCAGCATCTGTGGGCCATTCATTCCCTGTGTGCTGGGCTCCAGGTACGGGAGGCACAGAGGCAAGCCACACAGGGTCTGGCGACATCATAGCTCCTGATGGTGTCGATTTGGGGGCAGAGAATCAGCAAGGAAATGTATTTACATGTGGGACTGCCAGGGTCGCATGCAACGGCGGAACCCTAATGTGACAGAGTAGAGATGAGTTCAGGCCTCTGGGGCCAGCTGGGCAGACCAGTCCCTGGGCAGGCGCAGGGAAGAAGGACGGCAAAGGGAGGACAGAATTAGAGATGGGGGCGGGGAGGGGCTGGGATGGTGGCATTGCAGAAAGAAACTCTCTCTGAGTATGGAGGGCTGCAGGAGGTTCCAAGCCATGCTAGGACGACATCCCCACTCCCACCTCCAGAAATGAGGCCCAGGGCAATAAGGCTTTATAGAGCAACAAAGCTGCTCAGGACTGGAGATCAGGGAGCTGGGGCCAAGATTAGAGGTGGGTCTGACCCTCCAGAACTTGGATGGTTCCCTAGGTGGGGCAGCCAGAGGAACAGCAGAAGGTAGAAGCAGGTGGACAGGCAGACAGGCCCATGGGGCATCTCCTCTGCCAGAGCACAAAGTCTACCCTGCTTTGGATTCCTTCAGGGCAACTCTCTTCCACCACCCAGAAGGCCTTGTTACAGGAGGGACTTCATCTCCGGGCAAGTAGTTTACTTCCGTGAGCCTCTTACAGTGGGGCAGGGTGACAGGCCACCAAGGAAATCTCATGTGGATGGGCATCCATAAGAAGTGGTTACCGTGGTAACCATCATTCTAACCTCCTTATCCAGCCAGGTCCCTCACCATGGGGGATAGAGGGATAATGGGAGCCAGAGACCCTGGATCCTTCCTGAGTCCACACTTGCTTCCATTTGTCACTACCACAAGCCTCAGTTTCACCAAACTTAAAGGCAGACACTTCTCTTAACATTGAGCGCAGTCCTTGGAAAGCCTAGCCCGAAGGATGCTCCACGTGCACAGGTCTGCTTGTGTCTCTGCGATGTTTGTACACACAGACTTCCTAAGAGTTGAGCAGGCCTGGGTCGGAAGAAGTGTAATTCTACCATCAGCAAATAGCTCAGCGGATTAAAGTGCCTGCTTAGGCAGATACAGCAGCAGGGGTTCAATCCCTGTATGCCATGCCCCTGGGACACATTGAGAGGGGGGCTGGTGATGTGCACCTGTAACCCCAGCTCTTTGGGAGGCTGAACATAGAAGAATCACTATGAGTCCAATCTATGTAGTGAGACCTTATAGACCCTTACTAAAATAAAAAAAAAAAAATTCTACCATCAGCTCTACAGCTGTCCATGTGCTGTCAAACATTTCTCCCAAGTCTCTCTCTGTTTCTTCATCTCTAAGGTGGGCAAACGTACTGGAGCTCTCTCTACAGAGATATTGTGAGAGCCATATAAGGTCATGCTGTGAAAGCTTCCTGCAAAGTCTCACATCAATGGAAGGTGTCGCTTTGATACTCACTCCTTATAGCCCTCTCAATCAATCTATGGCTGACCGCCCTTCAGCCCATAGGCTGCCGGCGTGATAGCTCTCTCTGCTGCTTCAGCGGCTCACCTTGAGTCGCCCAGGGAGCTTTGACAG